GTTTCAGTTCATAATGATAAACTAACAAGGAAACACATTCAAATATTAGAACTTATGATTATACACTTTGCTCAACATAATACAAAGTGTTATGATATTTACATGCTGTTGGCTAACTTTAGCCATTCTGCCCTGTTTTGGAAAAATCATAGAAAAATCATACGAAGTCGAAAACTAGATCCGTAAATTCTGAGAGTTCAAAAATGTGTCTAGTTTACTCATAATTTTTATCACGATTTTTAATGACCTTAACTTGTGTGAAAAAGTCCATAATCACAGACTGGTCCGGATTGTTGTTTGAAATGATAGGCAGTTTTGTAAAAATCACCATAAATTGTAGAAAAATCGTATGGAGATGTGCAAGTAGTCATTTTAAAGCTACAAACATGAACTATTTGCACCTTGTACAGTTTTGAAAACAAAAATGTTTAAGATGCCCAAAACAGTCCGTGAATGGAGTTGAACTTTTCTGATGAAGGCTGTTAGAAAATTTAGTTATGTTCTTGGTGTTTTAACTTGTATTCCCCCCTGAAAACTTGAGAAAACATGAAAATGTAGGGGTATGAACTCACCTTAAGTGATTTCAGTAGATGATTGTTGAAGAATGGAAGTGTTTAATTCAAGAACACTTGGAGATGCCTTGAAGGTTTTCGAGAATCTAACATTATGGTTATGGAGTTTGTGTAAGCAATCAAAGATTTGAGTAGAAGAAGTGAAATAATAATAGGGAGGATGAATTTTTACTTACTAAGAGTGGAAGAACACTTGAAATCAGCCTTGAATCTCGAAAATTTGTGTAGAAAAAGTTTGAGAGAAAAGTGGTGTTTGTTACTTAGTGGAATGAGAGAAATGAGAGAAAATGAGGAGTGTGGTTGTTTGTTCCAGCTCAAAAAAAAAAAAACGTGGGAGTGAGTGAAATTTGAGTGTAAGGGGACATTGAAGTGATATAGGTAAGGTGGGGAGGTATGGCTGGTCATAGAGTGGGTGTGGGGTGGTTGCTTGTGTTATAAGTTAAGGCAAAGTCAACACTCCACCTTAAATAAATCCCCCATTAGATCTTTATTATTTAGATAATGATTTTCATAAAAATATGTTTAAATTATGAATATTTAGAGTTTATTATGTTAAAATATAATTTCTGGAGAAAATCCCGCTTTAAAATCACGAAAAACGGGCTTAAAATGTTAAAAATATCAAAAATGGGCTAAAAGTGACAAATTCCCGAAGTCTGGCCGAGGTTCGGCCTTCTGATGCTGAAACCGAGAGGAGGGAGGGTAGAAACCGAGAGGGGAGAAAAGAGAGGGAAGGAACCGAGAGGGGGGAGGAGAGAACAGAGGGCGCGAAGAGACAGAGGGGCGGAGTAGCGACCGAGAGTAGGGAAGAGACAGAGAGGCGGGTAGAGACAGAGCGAGAAGAAGGGAGCAGATGAGGCCATAGAGAACCGAGGCTCGGTCCTCGCGTGCATTTAGCCAACAGAGGCTCGTTCCTCGCATTCTTTAGCCAACAGAGGCTCGGTCCTCGCATGCCACAGCCAACAGAGGCTCGGTCCTCGCCTAAGAAGCCTCTCTTCTTGGTTTCGGTTCCTAAAGCTTATTTTTCTCGTTTTCGCCCCGTTTTAAGCCGTTTTTGACCCGGTTAAGGGCCGGAATGACCCGAATGATTCTAAAAAGTTACGGGAACTATTTGAGGGAGATTTGGGAGAGATTTCTCATACTTGGAGAGATTTGGAAGAGATTTGACATTCTTGGAGAGATTTCTCATACAAAGAGATATTTGAGAGAGATTTTGCATACTTGGAGAGATTTGGGAGAGATTTGACATTCTTGGAGAGATTTCTCATACAAAGAGATATTTGAGAGAGATTTCGCATACTTGGAGAGATTTGGGAGAGATTTGACATTCTTGGAGAGATTTCTCATACAAAGAGATATTTGAGAGAGATTTCGCATACTTGGAGAGATTTGACATTCTTGGAGAGATTTCTCATACAAAGAGATATTTGAGAGAGATTTCACATACTTGGAGAGATTTGGGAGAGATTTGACATTCTTGGAGAGATTTCTCATACAGAGAGATATTTGAGAGAGATTTCAAGTGTGGCATTTGTGAGTGTTTGGCTCCGCAATGCAACTCTCTTGAGCCCCGTTAAGTCATGGTTAAGGATCCCACACACTCCCAATGAGTATGCAACATGGTTTTTATCAGTTTAGTTCATTGATTAGCACTAGGGCTTAGGAAATTTTTAACACGAGACTTTTCTCAAGTGATGTTTTCCCATTAATATAGCAAGTTATACAGTACGAACATAACACAAACCCTAATACACAAGGTTTAATCGAGTTGACCGGCTTGACCTGATGACTTGACTTGACTCAAGATTGACGATTGTCACACATGGATACTCCATGGAGCTTAAACTCATGGATCATTACAAAAGTGTGGAAAGTCATGAGTTACATGGTGTAACCCTAATATACATACTATATAAGAAGCCTCATAGTTCATGAAATTGGCACAACTAGATACTCCAGTGAGGGCTAGCCAATTTTGCTATAATATAATATTCTCTCAAGTTATTCCAAGTTGTTGGTGGTGTTGTGTGATTCCATTTGGGGTGCAACACTTGGGGTACTAAGTTCATAAAGGTCAAAGGTTTCCAACTACAAGAAAAGGTATGTTATCTAACTTGTTTTATTACCCAAGTATCAATGTTTGTATGCTAGTTAGGGTAATACCTTGGAAAGTTCAAGTTTATATGTATAATAGAGAAAACAAAGATCCAATGTATTTATGATTGCATGTACACGTTAGGAGTGTTAGAATGCTCAAAACCCAACAATAGTATCAATCTTTTTTTAAAAAAATCATGTACTGTACCAATTATAGTTGGTACAAAAATTTTGGTACCACTATCATATCGAATATAATTGGTACTAACTTATTTGGCTATCAATAAATTTGGTTGGTACATGTTGATAATTATATATACCAACAAGTATATGCATATTTTATGAGTAAAGATATTTGTGTTCTTGAACATTGTAAATTTTGAGTGAGGATTTTTTGAAAGAAAATTTTGTGAAAAATCGATCCAGAAGAATGTTATTGATTTCTACCATGACTTTAAATTACAATGTAGTAGAGGAAAATAGTTCATGTTGAACATGATTTTAAAATTTAAATATTATATATATATATATATATATATATATATATATATATATATATATATATATATATATATATAGATCCGGTAAGAATTTTTTTTTGGTAGGAAGGTAAGAATTTTTTTTTTGGCTTGTTTTTTTGGCGAACAAAATAAATGAATCAATAATAACATGCTTCACAAAAAAAAAATCTCGAAAAAATATTTCGATGATTCATATTTACGATGATTTTATTGATATTCACTAAAATTGTCATAAAAGTGAATTTTTTTTTCCTGATTTACTTAAAAATGAATCATAAAAATGTTTTTTTCAGGTTTTTTTTTCTTGTGAATCATCTTACTTTTGAATCATTTAATGATTCATTTCATTTTTTTCCTAAGAAAATATATAGATAAAAAATTTCTTACCTTCCTACCAAAATTTTCCTTCTTATTTGATCTTGACTCTCTCTCTCTCTGTATATATCTTTACTATCTTATAAAAGAAATCCTACTATTTTTAAAAATAGATTGAATATAATAATATTATTTTTTTAAGACGTCCAAATTGTTAAGCTTTATGTACAACTTACCATCAATATAATAATATTATAAGTTAAGTAATTCAAATGATTAAGCATATAATACAACTACTCACTGCATAAGTTTCCTTATTTCACTAAAGCTTTTGACCTAGCCCTAGATGAGTCGTATTGAATCCTCTAGAATCCAAATATCTCGGCAAAAATCGTACTGAACCCAAAATTCCCAAATATTTAGCCCCCATCTCCTTATCGATCCAAATTTGCACCTATATGTGAAACCTTCTTCTGCATAACCAGGGTGTCTACGTCGACACTTCCTCACCGACCTCACACTTGAGTTAATTGCTGGTAAGCTGCCTGCTTACTTCAACCTTCCTTCATACATACCTCATCGTGACGCTTTGCCGAGTCACCCTCTATTAACAGCTCTGGTCGCCACCTCCTGCTGTGTTTTTAAAGGTAATCTTTTTATATTGATTTCATTATATACAGACTTTCTCTTTCTTCTCTTTCTCTTCGATTTTTTTGCTACCTCTCTCGAGACTACTTTGGGCGAGTGATTTCGTCCTCAAATCGAAGCTATATGATTAGGGATTTTCTGTTTTGTTGTTTTCGTTAGCTAGATTATGGGTTAATTTTTACACAAAGTTCGATCTGTTGTCTCTCTCTCTCTCTCTGTGAAGTTACTTATTAATTTCTTTGTTATTTTTTTGATGGTTTAGATTGCTATTATATCCGAAGAAGGCATTCTCCACTACTAGATTATGCTATTGACTGTTTCAAAGATATGGGAAGAAACAACTAAAAACTTTAGGTTGACATATGCTGAGAAGATTTGAAGGTATTTGTTTTTTTTTTGTTCGATCACTCGTGCGTCTTGAACCCTAATTTTTCGTGAATCTTAATTTTCAGGTGAAGCATCCCTTGCTTTGTTTGAAGTGCTTCCTCCACCTCGGGATTGATCTGGGTTTGTAATCGATTACTTAGAGTTGGAGATAATGCTTTCAATTTTGGACGTACATAACCAAGCCCATCAGTGAGTGTCCTAAACAACACGTTTTCTTCCGTTCCCTGTTAAAATACTGCACCTCACATGGTTTTTTTCTAATTTTTTTTTATTAGGAATGGATTTTGTTGTTATTTCCATGAAGAAGGATAAACGAGAATTTGAGCCCTTTACAGAAATAGATTCTCAATTCAAATAAGGTTACGAACATATGATTTGTTTTGTGAACTTACTTCTAACACATCATTAATTTCAGTCATATTAAGATGTGGACACATCATGCTTTCTTCAAAGCCAATATATGCTATGGGGAGATGATTTCTTTCTATCTTACCTATCAATCTCAGTTGGTTTATTATACTTCATCTATTCTTGGTGCAAATCAGTGGGAGTAAAGGTAAGTTTATACCTCTTTCCTTACTTTTCAATTGCTTTCATCGTTATTTTTTAATTATTATTTAATGAACGTGATATTGCTTTCATGGTGCAAAAACCCAACCACTACCCCTCTCATTTGTATACTCTCACAACCACTGCGAACTCAAACATATATCAAGAACCGATTTCATATTTTATATTTTAATTTGGTATTTCTTGGAAACTGGAGGGAAATAATTTCTTCACCAATTTGTTCGATTTTGAAGAAGAAGTCGATTTGCAGGTATCTCTTTCTGAAGAAGAAGTTGATTTAATTTGCAGGTCCATCTCTCTTAAAGTTACCACACAAACCCCCTGATATACATGTGTGTGTGTGTTTTGATATTACAGGTCTATTGGTTGGCCCCTGTACTCCTCTACCATGGAAAATCATCACAAAAATGATTTATCTGTTTGTCACAAAGGTAAAACAAACAATTATTATTATTGATTAACTCTCTTAAATTTCTAAATTTTATAGATATTTGTCCATCATAGGATTATGTGTTTGTGATGATTATCTGATATGCAAGGGTGAATGAAATTAGCCAGTGGAACTCATTCAATAAGTCCTTCACGTTTCTTCACGTTTAAACAACCTAGGTATGAGATATACTCTGCACTTTTCAGATGCCTAAACTATAATTAAATTTGAATTTGTATATATGTGTGTTTATAAGAAAGATAAATTTGAATTAAATTTTTTGGTATGAAAAAATAAATTCTTATATACGAAAAAAAAAGTACATTTGCAGTCACTATTATGCTTTAGTAAGAAAAAAAAATCTTAAATAAGAAAAAAAATGCACTCATTTTTATGCTTTGGCAAACAAGTATTTATAATTTATTTACAATAAGAATATTTTTTCAAGCTTGAGTTGATCATGTTGTTCTATATCTTTTACAGGTAAATGTCAAGTGTATTTTAGCCTCATTTGACTCAATTATTTTATAACTTATGCAGGTTACTCTAGATGAAGTGCAATTTTGTGTTGCCAACAAACTGTAACTTAAGAACAAAACAAGTTGAAACGCTTTTTTTTTTTTCTCTAAAGTAGTAATCCCATGGTTGCATTGTTGTTCGTTAATAATTAACATTTGGTAATATTTAATTTGTAGGTGACAACTTGAATTGAAAGTCACCTTGATTTATGCTTTCAGAAAAAAAAAAGTTGAAAAGGGAATTATTGTGTTTTTAATGCTATAACATCTTAAAACTTAAACCATGGGTGGAAACATCCAGAAAAAAAAAATCGACTCTTTGATGAAAATGGGAATCATAAACAAATATTGAGACTAACAGAACTCTCAGATTGCTCAACTCTCCAGGTTCTTTTTCTCATTTTTACTAATCTTAAATCTAATCCTGAACGTTGAGTTTTCAAATCACCAAGATTAAAGAAAACTATTAAGATTTGATTTTAATCTATTCTTTTCTCTCTCAATGGATTGTATGAAGTTATCCTCTAGAAAGACTAATTTGATTTTAAAAATATAATGGTTTAATATGAAAAATGCTTAAATGTTAAAAGAACATTGGATTTTATTTTCTTTGTAAAGCATCCAAACTTTGTTTCTGTTCGTTTTGTCACATTTACATCATTGTTTGGTTAATGGTTCAAATAGAGGTTTAATCTACATTGAGGGAATATAGTTTATGATTCTAAATTGGACAACATACAAAAGCCTTGATGGTGGTTTATACTTTTCTTAAATCTCAGTAATTTCCAAGTCAAGCGTTATAAATCCGAAAAATTTGCACAAAAGTGGAAAACCTGTTTGTTTGTTTGTTTTTTTTTTTTTTTTTTTTTTTTTTTTTTTTTTTGCATATATTTGTTGTAATTTAGTCTTTTATATTTAACTTTTAAGTCTCTTTTTAGTTTCTTATGTGCTAATTTATTCTTAACTTATGTACATTCTAATTTTTTTAACTCTTCTTATTCAACAGGTCTTGAGGGTATCTTGGAAGGTTTTGTAGTCATATGATGATAATTGATCACATGCTAGGTAGGGACAAAAAACTCTTTACTCTAACATTGTTTTTATTTTCTCAATGTTATCCTGTTTTTTGTTCCTATTTTATTTTCTTAACCTATGTACATTCTATTTTTTTTTAACTCTTCTTATTCAACAGGTCTTGAGGCAGTCCACCTTGCTACAAAAAGGGTTAACCATTGGGCTTCACATAGAGTCAATGCACTCATTTTTTTTTTGTCAAATCTAGCATCATGTATGAGTCTCACTGTGATCACTGCCATTACTTTTTCTTTTAGGAAGTTTTATCTTTTATGCATAAGTTTTATGATTTGAAAGCAAAAAATCGAAATGTAATGTACTTTAGAGAATTTTATTTTCATAGCAATATACTTTTGTTTTTTTTGTCAAATATAGGAACCTACTTCCATTTTATGTTTTTCCAATAGCAATGTACTCATTTTTTTTTTTGTCAAATATAACATCATGCTTTCATTTTCTATTTTGTCAAATATAGAAAAATGAAGGTAGAGTGCTACAAATGGGCATATAATCCAAAGTACATTGCTAATTTTCTTATGTTTGGTGTGCATGTGTGTCTATATGCTGCGTAATGTGTGTGTGTGCTATTATGGATACATAATTGTAAGCATGTTGCTATTTATCTAGAAGGAAAAATAACCATAAGGGTAAATAAATAAATATCCTACCAAACTTATTCGCCTATAAAATGTTTCCAATTTTATGTTGCTCATTGTATCCGATTCATTAAGAGACTCATATACAATAAAAGGGTAGTAGATCATGGAGACTCCATTGATGAAAAAAAATACCAAAAGACAAATCTACCCCATCTCCAGCATATGGCACACAACTTGCAAATGGAAAATGGTTGGGTTGATATAACATTTCTGGTTTTCGTCCGCACATAAGTACTCTCGATAGTTGTCTCACATATGATACTACAAACATATGTAAAGCCGATAACTACCACCTAGGATGAAAAGAAAACCAAGGGTTGTAGAAGTGTATAGGGATCTAATTGAAAAATACGATGTCGATATGGTTTTGTAATTTTTAATGACTAACAAAAATCATAAAAAATAACTTGTGGCAAAAACGCACAAAAATGTAATAATTTTCACTGATGAAAAGTGTCAAATTCACCAAACATTTGTGGCAAAAACCTAATGGAAAAAACGGCAAAATGTAAAAGTTTTTATAGCAATGACGAAAAGTGCCAATGTCGCTATAGATGTAAAAGTTTTACTATTCATAAGGCATGGCTAACTTTAATATATAAGTATCAAAATACAAAAATGTAAAAGTTTTCACTTCAATGATAAAGTCAAATTCACTAAACATTTGTGGCAAAAACCTAAAGTCACAAAATTTACTATTTATAAGGCATGGCTAGGGACAAGTTGGGTTAACCTACTTGGCTAACAAGGTGTCTAACAAGGAGTTACTAATAAAGAGATCTTGGCTAACAAGGTGTCTAACAAGGTGTCATATACTAACCCACCGTTCTAAAAAAAAGTTAGGGGGATTGAATGCCGGGTTCTAATTCATAATAAATATTGATGATAAATAGATAATATAGATGTTGAAATATAACTATTTGTCGCCCATCGAAAAATAAAATGGTTGTGCCGGAAAAACAAGAACCAAAATCGAAAGATAACTAATCCTCTCATCTCTCTCCCCACCTGTCTAATACTTAGGTTCCCTAATGTTTGGTTTTTAATTTATGTTTTGGAGTGAATTTGATGGTTTGATTTCCAAATGAAATTAAATAATCGATGACATGTTTCTTAAAAAGAAAATATCCGTTGAAAGGAAACTATTAACCTGAAATGGTGTGCCAAAAAAAATCGTCGCCTGAAAATATTACGCAAAAAAAAATTGTTGTCGAATGAAACTAATTGCCAAAAGAAATTATTTGTTACCGCCGCATTGCGCGGGTATATATATATATATATAATATATATATATATATATATATATATATATATATATATATATATATATATATATTGAATTGGTTGGTATGGTAATACCATGGTATTTAAAACTTTGTAGCATTACCGTATCATATTTAGGTAATTGGTATGGTACTACCAACTAAAATGTTGGCTACGAAACATATTGGTTACCAACATTATTGGTTCAATTGGAAACATGTTGGTTGGTCTTTTTTGACATAATATTTTCCAGCCCTATTGATTTATGTGAATCCCCTCTATTAAACTCCACATTTAATATCGTGCCTAATCCAACAGCTAAAAACATTCGTCGTACATCGCAATAACGTCGACTCCTTCAGTGGCGGCGATTGTCGATGCTAATGCTCGAAAAAAAAGACCCCAAAATATTCTCTCTAAAATGCATCACCACTAATTTGTTCGAGTCGCCGCTTATTCTTTTGTGTCGCCGTTAATGGTTGACGAGATATATACCGGCATAACTCATTCTTTTGGTTTACTGGATTTCACTTTTCTCTATAAAATTCCACCGTCGATTACCATAACCTTCTGTCAATTTCGTCAGCTTTTACTTTCCTTTCATTGAGGGTACTCATCACTGATGACGAGGAAGCTTATCACCAACGATGGTAGGTGAGGTTCCATCTCTGTTGTTTTTCGTTTTTTTTTTCTCTTCACTCCGGTGGCGACATAGAGTATTAGGGGGGCCACATTTAGCAGCAAATGAAGGTAATAGTGGTAACAAACGGAGCATTAACAACGAACTAACAACAACAACCCTTTAGCGACGACATGTCTCCATTGATACCTTTAATGATGACATTTTGGACCCAACGGTGAAGTCCGTCGCCAATAAAAATAATATGCTTGTAATATTAGTAAATTGAATGATAAAATAAAGTTAAATGTAAAGAAATAATTAATTATTATGTTTGGATGTCTCTGAAGTTTTAAAAGATATAATCCTAGGTAGCATGTAAACGTGTATTATGTGGAATTTCAAATGGATTTGAAGCGATTGTATTTTAAGTATAGTATTTTATTATTATTATTTTTTATTTTTGGGTTGGATGGGGAATTGAAGGAAATCGAAGGAAATCATTTTTTTACAAATAAAGAGAATGTTTGAATGAAAGCGGAAGGTTGTTGTGTGTTGTTAGTATTAATAATGGTTGAACAATTTAAAATTTTTATGTAAAAATGGGTACATTTATAAAATAAACGGGTATAATATTAAAATTTGGCTCTTTCTCTCTCATCGAAATCCCGGCCGTATCCCTGTCTAGCTTCCGAGGTCGACATGTCGAGTTCATGGCATGGTGTATGTTGAGTGTGTAGGCGATACCAAATTCATTTCAAGTCCACTCCTTGTAACCTTATAAAATGAATGTTACACAAGATGATTCGTGAAGAATATGTCTTTCATGTCTTACAAAATTCTTGTCTCATATATATATATATATATATATATATATATATATATATATATATATATATATATATATATATATATATATATATATATATATATATATATATATAAAATAGTGAACCATTATCAATAGTTCTCTAAGGAATCAAATATATTTTTCTTCAAGTTTTTTCTTTATTGAAAAGAAAACCTAAAAATATCTAAATTTATAACTTTCACATTGCTATTGCTTATATATTTTTTGGATTCACCGTGTGAACTTAGAATCACACTGTGAATTTGACTATATTTTGATATTATTGGAAAAATGATAAAAAATTATGAATTTATATATTTTCAGTTTTTTATATAAAAAAATAAGTTATAAAAATTGAAAAAAAAGATTGTTTCCTTGGTTTCATTGTTTTTTTTTTTTAACTGACAAATATTATTAAAGGACTACTACCTAACAAGTTACTAGACGGGGCCAAGAGATCAACAAAGAAAGAAGATTACAACAAGCACTGAGAGCAGACATATACACCATTTAACCCACTTATAGTGTCAATCTAATATGCTATGCTTTAGCCAAGTATACACTAGTGACTTGATGCTGTCCACTATCTTATAGGGAGGAGTGCGTATGTTCTTAAATACCCGATCACACTTTGATTTCTATATCAACCATCACACCATAACACACACTAATGAGATTGTTTCTCCTTTTCGAACATCTACCATAAAATTTTAAGAAACTGTTGAGATCTCCAATGGTATTAAATTGTGGGACAGGAATATCACACAAGTTAAT